TTGAAGCAGCATAGCCTTGATTTTTACCCAGTAGTCAATAAATCAAACAAACCTTTAAATGTTTTATTTTGTTTGATTGATTGATTGATTAGTTGATTTAGTGTGTGTGTGTGTGTACATGCACACTCGAGTACCCACACATACATGCCATAGCAGCATGTGATGGTCAGAGGATGACTTGTGGGCACTGGTTCTTGGCTACCTTACAGGTTTCAGAGATTGAAGCTCAGTGGGCAGACCTAATGGCAGGTGCTCTAAGCTATTAAGTAATCTCTCTAGACCAAACTAATCTTTTAAGAGTTTATAATTTTATTACTTTATGTGTATATTTTGGTTTTGTGTATATGTGATTGCATATGTTTTGTTTTGTTTTGTTTTTGACCTGATATATGTCTGTACCTTGATACCTGGTGTTTGTCTCTGAGGCAAATGGATTGGCTTCTCTGTGCATTCCACTTTGCCAGAAGGCAGTGTAAGAAACCTCATGTTGTGGACTACCATACAGATGCTAGAATCAAATCTAAGTCATCTGGAAGAGAATTCTGTGCACTTAACTCCTGAGCCACCTCACCAGCAAGCCATGTCTCCAGAGCGTCCCCCAAACAATTCTTTAAAACTCAAACAAGCCTGGAGTTTTATAAAGGAGACTACAAGACTCACATGGATTGTTACAGTGTGACAAGTCCACACATCTGGCCCTGAGGAACATGTGGCAGCTTTTAAAGCATTTTATATTTATTTATCTTATTTTAAGCATACAGGTGTTTTGTCTACATATATGTGTCTGATGCCCAAGGAAGTCAACATAGGGTGTCAGATCCCCTGGAACTGGAGTTACAGATGGTTGGGAGCCACCATGTGTGTGCTGGGAGTCAAACCTGGGTCCTCTCCAACAGCAGCAAGTGCTCTTAACCACTGAGTCATCCCTCCAGCTCCCAAATGCTCACTTTTCTAGCGCACTGGTGTAGGATGTTTGCGAGGTACACAGCCACAGACATCCCAGCCCAGGTCCCCAGATCCCTGTAGTTTGGATAGTGAATGTGCATTAAAAGTCGTGACGTTCAAGGCTTGGCCCCCAGTGTGGTGTTAATGGAGATGGTAGAGCCTTTAAGTGGGAACCAACTGGATATCTTAGGTTCAGAGGGTATTGTGAACCCCAGCTCCCTCCTCACTCTGACTTGCTGGCCATGAGGTGAGTGGGGTTTGCTCCTCTGTGCACTTCCACTTTACTCAAGCAGGGAGTCTTCCCAGTCCTGGAGGAGAACTCCAAAACTGTGAGCCATATGACTGGAGAGGTGGCTCAGCTGGTAAGAATGCTTGCTGCTCTTGCAGAGTACCAGAGTTTGGTTCCTAGGACCTGTAACTCCAGTTCCAGGGGATCTGACACCCTCTTCTAGTGTGTGTGTGTGTGTGTGTGTGTGTGTGTGTGTGTGTGTGTGTGTGTGGAGGGGTGTGTGTATGAGCACGTGCGTGTGTGCTCACGAGCACACATGCACTGATAAATATATTCACACAAACGTGAGCACACATACCTAAATAATAAAATTAATTAGGTCAAAATAAGATTTTCATAGTTTATACTGTATCAGGTATTCATCTATAGCAACAGAAAGCTGTCTCGTAGCTTCTTTTCTCCATTGTCCAAGTTTTAATCATACTGGCCTGCTCTCCTTTTTCTAAAATTTATCTGTCTGCCTCTGGTTTTTCCCAGGCTGACACCAACTCCCACCATTATTGCCACCCTCAGGACTGAAACTCTACCAAAATTCTGCCTATCCTGCAAGATCAGTTCAAATTTTACCTTCTCTGTAAAGTCTTACCATTTTGAAGAAAAACAAGTGATAAAAAATATTTTTAATTTTTATCTTACATGTGTGGGTGTTTTGTCTGTGCACTATGTGTGTGCTCTGGAGGTGAGAGGTGGGTGTTCGGTCCTTCCCTACTGGAGTTACAGATGGTTGTGAGCTGTCGCTTGGATGCTGGGAATTGAACCCAGGTCCTCTGCAACAAGTGCTCTGAACCACTGAATCATCTCTCCAACTCCAAGATGTATTTAGACACATAGTTCTCTTGCATACTTTCTTAGCAGTTTCTAGTCTTGGGATGCAAAGAAAAGCAAGTTGTGGTTTTTTCATAACTTAGTGGAACGTCCATCCTCAACAGGCCAGAGCAAACAGTGGGATACAAATTGGAAGAAGTCTGTGGAGTTAAAGCATTCTCACACCCACAGCTCCCTTTGAAAGAAAGTAATTCAAGGTAACTTCTCTATACAAAGTCACTGACAATCTGTGCCAAGTTCCTGACAGTGCCCTTCTGGCCTCCTACCTATTGAGAGCCTTGGTTTCAACTCTGCCCTGCATTGGATGGCAAGAACTGACCAACTAGACTCACAGGTGGTCTCCAAACCCAGGCAACACCCTATCAGGATGCTTGTGTCCTCAAGGATGGAGAGCTCTTTTACCAAGGAAGTGGTGAGAGGAAACAGTAGGAGTCCTGAGGCTAACACCGCGGATTGTCTACCTCTTTGTCCTTAGGCAGCAGCAAGGCCCTTTCTCTCTGAGCAATGGCTTCAGGCAGAATGAAATGGGCTGACCTGCCGGAACGGTGGTGTTCGAGTCTATAATCCTAGCACTTGGAAGGCTGAGAAAGGAAGATCATAAGTTTAAGAATAGACTGGACTTACACTGGGTATTGGGGCCGGGAGGGGGGGGGGCTGTGAGACTATAGGCAAATAATCGTGTGGAGGGACCAGCAGCTGCTGGTCTTCTCCTGCTCCTCCTCATCGCTTCCTCCTCTTCTTCATATTATTCTCTTCTTCAGCTACTTCTTCTTTTCTTCTTCTCTTTTTCCTTCTTTTGTCCCCCCCCCTTTTTTTTGGTTTTTTGAAATAAGGTTTATCTGGGTAACAGAGTCCTAGCTATCCTGGAATTCACTCTGCAGACCAGGCTGACTTCAAACTCACAGAGATCCACCTGCCTCTGCCTCCTGAGTGCTGAGATTAGAGGCAATCACCACCACCACATGGTTTACCACCACAGCTCCTTAAACAGCAGGCGTGGACTCTATACAAAGCTGTGACACCAAGGGTGAGGCTCGTGAAACGCAATGGGGGTCCTGAAACATCGGGCAGCAGTTAAAGGTCTCTGAAGGCACAAAGACAAAAAGTTGACTCAAAATCAAACAATCCCACCACCACCACCACCACAGCAGAGACAGAGGCAGGAGGATCTCCACTAGAAATTCAAGGTCAGTTGTCTGGATATGGAATTCCAAGACAGCCTGGGCTGCCTCAAGATAAGCAAGCAATCAATAAATAAACAAAACACAAACCAAATTCTTGGTGCAGCTAGCGTCACCTGCCTGTGTTGCACTGAACATTGGGTTCTGACCTGAACATATGCACTTTGTGCTGCACCCTCCATCACAGCACACAACACCAACAAACACTGCCTGGGATGCCTTGGCTCAGACTTAAAACACTGGGTTATAAACCACATTGCTTTCCCAGTCTTATGCTTACATAGAAACATAATGGTTTATAGACAATTAAGACTAGATTGTCCTACCATCTTTTATCAGTAAGTAAGTTTTGTACTGTATTATAGCATGTCTTTGAATTATTGTATATGTGAATGTTGGAAATTTTAAACTGCTCTTTGAAACACTGACATGAATTTTATATTTTTTAAATATTTATTTATTTATTATGTATACAATATTCTGTCTGTATGTATGCCTGCAGGCCAGAAGAGGGCACCAGACCTCATTACAGATGGTTGTGAGCCACCATGTGGTTGCTGGGAATTGAACTCAGGACCTTTGGAAGAGCAGGCAATGCTCTTAACCGCTGAGCCATCACTCCAGCCCCATGAATTTTATTTTTGTAAAAAAATCCAAATGACAGAGAAACCCTGTCTCGAAAAACAAAACAAAAAAATCCAAATGAATTTTGGCTTGAGATTAGGGTAGAATTTCCAACAATTTCTGAAATGGTTCTTTTTTTTTTTTTTTTTTTTTTGGTTTTTCGAGACAGGGTTTCTCTGTGGTTTTGGAGCCTGTCCTGGAACTAGCTCTTGTAGACCAGGCTGGTCTCGAACTCACAGAGATCCGCCTGCCTCTGTTCTGAAATGGTTCTAAACAAAACTGCCGTTCTGTACTACGCACTTGCACAAAGTGGAGTTCTCAGTATTGAAAATTATGAAGTCAAAATATTCAACCACTCTCAGCAGATGTTCCACATCTAGTAATATCAAATGTTCAGCCAAGTTTTTTTTCCTTTTTGATTTTTTTGAGACAGGGTTTTATGTCCTGGAACTCACTCTGTAGACCAGGCTGGCCCTGAACTCAGAGATCTACATGCCCCTGCCTCCAAAATGCTGGGGTTAAAGGTTAAAGGCATGTGCTGCCACCACCACCCAACTCTGAGATTTAATTCTTAACTTAAAAATAAACAAGCATACCTATCACATTAGTATAAACTTGATTTTCCCTGTAAATAATTGGTAAGGCTATACATATGCCAAAGAGTCATTCTAGAAAAAAATCTATACTTACTATGAGAAAATGTTTGATTTGGAGACATATATATATATATATATATATACATACACACCCCTAGGGTCATATAAAATTTTCTCAGCAATCTGAAGCATAAAAAGTCTAAGAACTGAGGTTGTAGAGATGGCTCAGTGGTTAAGAAGCTGACTGTTGGGGCTGGAGAGATGGCTCAGAGGTTAAGAGCACTGACTGCTCTTCCAGAGGTCCTGAGTTCAATTCCCAGCAACCACATGGTGGCTCACAGCCATCTATAATGAGATCTGGTGCCCTCTTCTGGCATGCAAGCATACATGGAAGAAATGTTGTATACATAATAAATAAATAAATCTTAAAAAAAAAAAAAAAAAAAAAAAGAAGCTGGCTGTTCTCGTAGAGTACCTGGGTTGGATTTCCACCACCACATGGCAGCTCACAAGCATCTGTAACTCTAGCTCCAGGGGCTCTAATGCCCTCCTCTGGCCTTTGCCAGCATCGAGCACACAAGTGGTGCACAAGCATCCGTGTAAGCAAAACACCCATACACATAATACAAAAATGTTTTTAATTTTAAAATCTCTAAGAAAGAAGCCCTGAACTAAGGCTCGGTGGAAGGACTGAGGGAATGTTGGGCTTCAGCTGGGTGCAGTATGAAAGCAAGTTAGTATCTCCTAGTGTGGCAGCACAGCCTTTAATCCCTGCACTATGGAGGGGGGCAGTACAGGTGGATCTCTGGGAGTTCCAGGCCAACATGGTCTACATACAGAGTTACAGGACAACCAGGAATACATAGGAAGATTTGTCTCAAAAAAAGGCAACTTAGTATCAAAAGAAAGGCAGAGTCAAGTAAATTTCTAGGGTGACCATCTTAAACATGAGACGAGGAGACCCCGGGAGACTGGCTGACTTGTCAAGAATCTCTGGCAGTAATGGCTGAAGGTGCAGATTTCTAGACTCCCGGGGCTCCCTGAATTAATTTTGGGTCTCCATGCACTCAGAAATGTGTCACTCTGGACAAATGTTTCAGGATCCCCACATCCAGTCATCCAACCCCATATAGGGTCACTGCTCACAGGAGAAGCTAGGGTTCAGTGGTTGGTCACTCTGTGATTATTTGCTTGTATTCTCATGACCCTGGAGTCTTTGGAAGTAGAAAGAGGGCATCAGATCCCCTGGAACTAGAGTTACAGACAGTTACAAGCCTCAGCATGGGTGGTGGGAACTCAACCCAGGTCTTTTGAAAAAGCAGCCAGTGTTCTTAATTGCTGAGCCATCTCTCTAGCCCTGAATTTTTATTAATAAAGTTGGGGTTAATAAAGATATTTAATATGGGATTAAAGACAAAGGTTAGGAGAAGGGCGGATGATGTGGGAGTGTCATATATCAATCTGTTGATTTCATTGGTTAAGTAATAAACCAACTGCTTGGCCTAATAGCTTAGAACATAGGTGGGTGGAATAAACAGAATAGGCGGCTGGGCGGAAGAGGAAGTGAGGTCAGACTCTGCTCTGCTCCCGGAGAGACTCTGCTCTCCGGAGCACAGACACCATGCTCCACTCTCCCAGGATGGACAGAGGCTAGAATCTTCCCGGTAAGCGCACCTTGGGGTGCTTACACGCATTATTAGAAATGGGCTAGTCCAGGTGCGAGATTTAGCCTGTAAGGGCTAGAGTTCATGGGCCAAGCAGTTCTTAAATGAATACAGTTTGTGTGTTGTTATTTCGGGCATGAGCTAGCCAAGCGGCCAGGGTGTTGGGGATGCAGCCCCGCCACCGCCCCTATTTCAACAGGCGGAGTCACAGGAAAAAGTAAAGCACACCTAAGAGCATGGCTATGGGCTTCTCGAAGAAAAGCTGAGGAAAGTAAGAATGAGGTGTGGGCATGGCTCTCCGGCAGAGAGTTGCCTTTGCTTTGTTTGTTTATTTATTTTTCAGCAAAGCTAACAAGCACAGGCATCTACCTTTACAGTTGTAGTCTGGTCGGGTGTTTCCCTTATCAAATTCCCTCCAGATCAGAAAACTTGAGTCCACCCCAGCAAAGGGGTGTTGAAAGGGCAATAAATTCTCTCCCTGGAAGAGCTACCAAAAGGAAACAATAAGATAGGAGCTGGGAGCAGATGCCAAAGCTGTTCCCTGTAATAAGAATGAGATGGACATCACCCTTTGAAGGATTGACTCCAAAAGGCAAGCGACGTCAGGGGATCCAGGCAATTCTTTTGAGAGGCAATAAATCCCAGGACTTTGGAAACCTCCGAACACAGCTGAATTAGCAGGAAGAGAGGAAAATTAGAGTTGGGGAACCAGCCTCTCCAAATATTAAGAGTAAGGACTCACCCAAGGGCTCTTCCTGTCTCTTTGGCCTCAGCGGCAGAAGCCAGATGACAAAAGGAACGTCATCCTTTGGAAAGTGTCGCAACAAGACGTGCACACGTTGTGCTGTGGCGCTGGACCACCTTCAGAAGTCTACCTGTGGCAAATGCGGCTACCCTGCCAAGCGCAAGAGAAAGTATAACTGGAGTGCCAAGGCTAAGAGACGAAACATTACCGGGACTGGGAGGATGAGGCACCTAAAAATTGTCTACCGAAGATTCAGACATGGATTCCGTGAAGGAACAACCCCTAAACCCAAGAGGGCATCTGTTGCAACATCCAGTTCATCTTGAGGATTTCAATCTGTCATAAAATAAATGTTCTGGTTTCCAAAATGGAAAAAGAAAAGAGCTCACCCAAGGCAGTCCCCAGGAGAAATCCGATTTTTACGCATTAAGAAGGGGACATTCTACTGACTGGTCTCTTCTCACCCCTACAGGCCACACGGGCTGAGGAGAGAATGGAAGGGAGTGTTAAGGTCTCAGTCAGTGTCTTAGGATTTCTGTGGCTGTGATGAAACACCATGACCAAAGCAACTTGGGAAGGAGGGGGTTTATGTGGCTTACACTTCCACATCACTATTCATCAAAGGACGTGTGACCTCCCTCCCACACCCACACGTGAGTACACATATTTACATACAGGCACATGTATACATAATCAAAAATAAAAGTATATCATAAATAACCATAGCAACAACAAAAAGATCTCAGCCACTAGCTAGCCCAGATCTTACAAGTTCCTGGTTGGGGGTTGACACAGAAGGCAATTCTCAAAGGCAATACCTCTTTGTTGCCACACAGGGGCTCCACACCAGGCTTCTGGAGGAATTTTACATGTTTTTTTCTTCCTTCTCCTGTTATTACAAAACAAACATATGAATTGAAGGTTAGGAAATGCCCCCCCAAACAGTCTGTGGTCTATTAACATAAAACTACTGACACTGCGTTAATGTATATGCTTCCAACTCTGCCTAGACTTCGTTAGACATACAATTTTATATGAACATTAGATGAACATGAATAATGCACATGATAACATACATCAGAAGGGGGTCGGATCTCTGGAAACTGGACTTCCTTACAGACAGTTGTGAGCTGTCATGTGGATGCTAGAAACCAAACCCCTGCCCTCTACAAGAACAAGTGCTTTTAGCGGCTGAGCTGTCCCTCCAGCTCCATTCCAAACATTTTTAAACGACGGCATTTTATTCCATGTTTGTCATTTAAATGTTTATTATAATACACATATTAGAGAAAATCCTACACGGATGCCTCCTGGGACTTATCAAGCCATTTTTCTGTTGTTGGAAGTAGTCATTCCATTTCAAGGCAAAGATAGGAGTGCTACAACTGGCCAGTTGTAGATGCGACCGAGCCAGGGGTGCGCACTGCCCGCCCAGGCCATGAGCCCAAGTTTTATCCAGCCAAACCAGAATGCCACTGCTGTCTGTCCTTCCCGCCCCAACACTTGTGCTGCAGGACCGCAAGGGGCGGGGCGACGCGCGGGGCCGGGGCCGGAGGCCGGGCCGAGGCGGGGCCTCGCGAGGAGGGCGGGGCCGGGCGCGGCGGCGGGCGGGTGCCGGCGCTGCCGTTCGCTGCTCGAGCTCCAGGTGGAGCTGTGCCGCCGCGCTGCCTCCAGGAAGCCTCACGGGCCTTCGTCGGCCTGGCCGCGGCGCCGGCTCCCAGGATGCAGTGTGGAGTGGCCGGGCGCTGACGGTGGCGGTGCGGCTGCGGGCAGAGCGGCGGGAGGCCGGCCTGCGAGGAGCGCGGCGGGGAAGGCAGCGGCGCTGCCGGCGGAGAGGACCCGGCGGCCGGGCCTGCGTGGGGCCGCGCGCCGCGGCGTCGACTTCCTCCGCGCCGGGCAGGACAGCGCAGGGCCATGGCCGAGGCGGCCGCGGCTCCGGTAAGGGCGGCCCGCGCGCTTGGCCCGCGCGGCCTCGGGCCCCGGAAGGCCGGGGCCCAGCACACTGTGCCGCAGGCCCCAGGAGGGCTTCCGGGCCAGACCGGGCCTGCGGGTCCTGGGGCTGCGGCGAGCGGCCGCGAGGTCCGCCGGGGCCTACCGGACCGGGTGGAGCCGGGAACGGCCGTCCGCGCTCCGGAGGCCGACCCGCGCCAAGTTCCCGGTCTGCGCGTCCCCGGGCCGGGCTCCTTCCTCGGCGCCGGGCCGGTGCTTCCCTCCCCCAGCTCCCCCAGCTCCCCCAGCGGCCTGGTGGCACCTGGGAGGTGTCCGACGTCGATTCCGCATACACTGAGCACCCACTATGTGCCCGGCCCTCCCCGGGCGGCGCGAGGGCTGCTCCCATTTGTCCAGCCAGGCTGGCGCTGTGCTCAGCCCTGTTTAGGCATGATTTCTGTCCTCACTGCAAACCTGTGGGATAGTTACTATTATAGTTATTATTTTGTACAAGAGAGAAGCTGGAGGTCCAGCGAAGTTAACTTGCCGAGAATCTCGGAGAGGAAGTGTGGGAAGACAGTGCTTACAGTTCAGTGACTGTGATAAGAAAAGCAGACAGGTACACGAGTAGCCATATGGTCAAACAGAAAGAGCTTGTGGCAACCTGGTGGAAACGAAGTTCGAATAAGCAGGTGCTTAGCAGACCCTGTTCCTCCTACCTGGCCAGGTAGTCTTTGCTTCTGTGAACTGAGTTAACTAGGGCTTCATAGGACTTGGGCCGAGAGAGGCAAGGCACAGAGACAGGACAGTACAGGACTGGTCCACAAGCCTGGAGAGATGGTTTTGGTTATGAGCTGCAGAGTTGGAAGGGGCTGGAAGGCCTGGACTTCGTCATGTGGGTGGGGAACAGTGGAAGGATTTGGCGTCCTCTTAGACCAGTGGCTCCTCTCGAGCTCAGAGTTTTGGCTTCCCTGCCTGTTTTGCAGTTGGCTGTTCCACCTTCCCTTTGAGTGAGCAAGGTGCTAGGCTTAGGCAGAGCACAAGCCACACAGTTCAAAGGTCCATGGACCCCACAAAAATAGTTCAAACAACAACAACAAAAAACCCGACCCATTGTTCAGATGTTGAACAAGAAAAACATCACTGAGGTAGATGTTTGTGCAGATGCCCTTTTGTGTAACACAGAGGTTGCAGCAGAGGGAATGGTGGCAAAGTACAAGGATACATCTGAAATAGACTCTGGGATAATCCCAGTCGGGGCTGGTCGAGGTATCCTCCCACAGCAGACTCTCCCTTACAACAGTTCTGCCTGTCAGAATCCATCTTCTGAGACCCACTGAAAGTCCTCAGTCAGAGCTTGTGCCTCCTGTACAGCCTGAGAAACTCTGGAGCACCATGCAGACCAGCTTTTCTGCCTCTGGTCAAGCCCTCTTGGCCCCATTTTCTCATGTGTCTTCCCACATTCTGGTTCCCAGTGACTCAAATGAGTCCACACTAGTTCCTAGATGTCACTTTTATTTTACAAGTAGTCATCCACCCTTTCTTGTTAAAAGAGTATCCTTCTGGAATGTAAGGAGCATGTGTCTTCAGGCACTGACCAGAAGAGGCCCCCATGCAGGGATCTCCAATCAGTCCTGGAGGTTGCACCTTGGATATACATGAAGGGGCTCTTCCCGTGCCCCCCCCCCCCGTGTTCTTCCTCTCCAGTGGGCAGGCGCCACAGCCTCTGCCGTTCCCAGTGGGCAGGCGCCACAGCCTCTGCCGTTCCCAGTGGGCAGGCGCTACAGCCTCTGCCGTTCCCAGTGGGCAGGCGCTACAGCCTCTGCCGTTCCCAGTGGGCAGGCGCTACAGCCTCTGCCGTTCCCAGTGGCAGGCGCATATCAGTCTTGTGATTGTTGCTGCGCTGTAAAAGTCTGCCTTCCCCACCAGGTTAAGTATGTCCCTGATCTCAGGACAGCTCGTGCCTGAGACTGATTCATACCTTGCAGGGAGTTGAGTCCAACTCTTAATGCCAGGCATTAAGAGTCACTTCAGGACTTGGGTGATAAAGGCAAGGAGGAGCGAGGGTTCAGCACCATCCAAGCAGGTTCTAGGTCAACCTGGACTATGTGAGACTTCATCACAGAAACAAAATCTCTTTGACTGGTTAAAATTGGCAGTATTGGTAATTTTAGCTCATGGGGGAGGGGCAGTTAGGAAGGGACCAAATCAGGTTGTCCTGGAGGAAAGGGAATTGGCCATTGAGCTTATCTGTCTGTAAGAGGGGACATGAGATGCTCTTTTAAAAAGCACTTGAGCAACCCCTTGTTTGTGCCTCTCAGTTGAAGCAGCTGGAGTTTTTGCTGGGTCATCATCAGGCAGTTCCTGTGTGATTGTGACAGAAGTGCAGGCTGGGCCCTAGTAAATCTGCAGTTTATCGTTTCTCCACTAAAACGCTCCAGCAATGCTAAGTCACTGTTTATTTTGCAAAATCGCACTGTGTGTTTACCATGTGTTTAGCACTGTACTGTGAAAAGAAATCATGTCCACCAGGAGAGATGCTCAGTGTAGGGACGTACAGGAGCTGACTGAATAGGGTGGAAGGGCCAAGGTAGAAATCTGCACAGTGTGCTGTAGAGTCCTGAGCAAGGCACCTGCTAGCCTCAGGCCAGATCTTTAAACCCAAAGAGGCTGTTACTAAGGCAAGATCTGGTGCATGATATAGGATGTTCCTACTTCCAACATACTTGGGCTCCCCACTCCCAGCTTGGTTCCCCCATGCGTGGGATAGAAGGATCACAATGAGAAGAATAATGCTGGTTTCTCCTCTTTCTTGAAGATTTCTCCGTGGACAATGGCAGCTACAATTCAGGCCATGGAGAGGAAGATTGAATCACAGGCCGCTCGACTGCTTTCTCTAGAAGGCCGAACTGGGATGGCAGAGAAGAAGCTGGCTGACTGTGAGAAGACAGCTGTGGAGTTCAGCAACCAGCTGGAGGGCAAGTGGGCCGTGCTGGGAACCCTGCTGCAGGAGTACGGGCTGCTGCAGCGGCGTCTGGAGAACGTGGAGAATCTGTTGCGCAACCGGAACTTCTGGATTTTGAGACTTCCCCCTGGCAGCAAGGGCGAGGTCCCCAAGGTAGCTTTTGGGGGCCCTGGGATGGGGAGCCCAAGGGTCCATGCCTGCAAGGATGTGGGTGAGTGAGTGAGTTGTGGTTTTGGATTCCTGTGACCTCTGATGACGTGGCTGTGTATTTCTCTGAGCAGGAGTGGGGCAAGCTGGAGGACTGGCAGAAGGAGCTCTACAAGCACGTGATGAGGGGCAACTATGAGACGCTGGTCTCCCTGGGTAAGGCCTGACACATGCCTCTGTAAGGTGGGATTTTAGAGTCCCCAGACCTCTTTGTGATATAGTTGTTTTCAGTGGTGTCTATATAGATCCCTAGATACTGTGAGCAAAGAGACTCCTTCCATGTTCTGGGGTGAAGAGTCAGGTACTCCCTTCTGTTTGGAGTAGCAGACCTAGGAAAGCAGTAGCCTCTCTCCTCACCAGGCCCAAAGTATGGACATCTCTGCTTTTACAGAGAGTAGGGTGCAGGTGTGCCACAGCTCTCCGGAGTTTTTAGTCCACTCCACTTTAGTGAAGGAATTGTTCTTTCACCATCAATTGGGTGGCTTTTATGTGACACATCACAGAGTGCCCCAAAGCCCTGTTACTCTAGCCCCCTCCTCTTGGCCTTACTTTCTAATCCCCTAATTCTGTGTTTCGTGGACTGAGTGAGTGCACTCACAGTATGTTCTGCTCTGCAGGCATGCTGCTGCTTAGTGTGGCTCTATCCCACACAGCTAGCTCTGTGGACAGATGATGCTTGGGGTGGGGTCTTTCATATGCATTGTTCAGTATGCAGTAGCACTCTCCCACCCCCTAGAGTCGACACAAGCTCGTCCCTAGACGTTGCAGCAGAATGCCTACCATTGAGAACTGCTGTTTAGTACCAGTCAAGACATTTAGTTTCTAGGCTATTAGTGATTTTACAGCTGCCTATCACCCTTTCTGATGAGAATGTGATTAACCCTGTCTTTCCTCAGACTATGCCATCTCCAAACCCGAGGTCCTCTCCCAGATTGAACAAGGCAAGGAGCCATGCACTTGGCGTCGCGCTGGCCCCAAGGTCCCGGAAGTTCCTGTGGACCCAAGTCCAGGTGAAGGGTTGGGAAAAGATCAGGGACACACCAGGTGACCACGTGAACATAGAAAAATAAAGGTCTAGGGTTGGTGCTACTCTTCTTTCCAGAAAGACACAGTGTTTCAAATGTAACTCTTTCATGGTTGAGTCACAACTGACTTACTCAGCCATGGTGTAGAAACTGGTAATTTGTATCTTGGGCATAGATAGCAAAGCCAGAAGCAGGGTCACAGAATTAGGGGATAAGAGAAGAGGGAGTAAAGAGCTCGAGCTGCTCAAGGAGTCATCCAGTTTTAAACACTGGAAGTTTGAAAACCCATTGGCCAGCTGTGTGGTCCAGTGTGACTAGAACCAGGTGTTTATTTCAGGTGACTTGGATACTGAACACAGTGTCTCACATTTCCCTGGAGCAATCAGCGCCTCTTCAAGTTTAGGAAGAATAGGGATGCCGGGTTCCTACATGGAAGACCTTGCTGAGTCATTTGCAAGAGACATTGACTTTGCTAAGCCTCTGCCTCCCTTGTCTGTCCTTTGCCTGTCCTGCCACCTTGGGTTTGTCGTTTTTGATACTGTGTCACTCAGATCTTCCTGTGGTTAAGTCCTACGTAGTTAATTGTGTTGAGTTTTGTTGGTACCAAGGATGGTGGGTCAGCTGGATGGTGGAAAGGTGTCTACTGAGTTCGCTGCCTGGTGGGGGACACATGTCACCTTGACTTCCAAGCCAAGGGTGAGAGGTTCCTGGTATCTGCTTTTATTTCCTAGTGTTTGTAACGTGGTACTTTCCCTGGTGAGAACCAGTAGGGTCCAAGAAACAGCCAGTTGGTGGCCCTCACTGTCCACTGCCCATTGGAATTTGTCAGCAGGACTCGCATGCTGCCTTTCTTCCCTCCTCAGTCCTGGCCTCTGGGTCCCTGCCCTCCTCTCACTCTTGATTGAGTCAGTCCATGCCCTTGTCAGGCCTCATCTCTTCTCTCCACACCCTAATATCTCCATGGTACTTTTCAGGACCCTCCATGGGTCCATTGTATTCCCATCTGTCTTGCTCAGGCTGAGCCCTGGCTCTCTCTTTCCAAGTGCTGCTGCCCTGCAGCTCTTTTGTCCTCTTCCTCATGTCCCTTTGACACTGGGCTTTCAGTAGGCAGGTGTCCTTGCCCTCCTCTACACCTACCACCTTGTCATCCTTCAGCCTCACTACTCGTGAATATTACTAGAGCCATGTGGTGGTCCTGCCACTCTTGATGTTTGCCTCATCCCTTCCACTGTCCCCATCCCTAGTATGTATTCCACAGCCACTTCCTGTTTCTAGTTCTTCCAGTCCTTAGAACCTCAAGTCCAGCAGGTCTTCAATCTGTAGGACCTTCAAAGCCTTCTCACTCTCTCCTCATCCTCCTTTCCTGTGGCTATCACTAATTACCCCCTCATACACTCTCTCACTTTCCCTCTATTTATTCTATCTACTTGGCAAAGCCGTGATCTCAGAGAAATCATCTGCCTGCTCTGCACCTGCACGCAGACAGCTGCCAGTGGCAAACCCATAACCCTACAGCCAGCCTCATCTGGTATTCCTGACCAACATCTGCCAGTAGTCACCAGCATTATCTCAGTTGCCTCACTAGCTCAGGCTGGCAAATTATGACTCAGAGACCAAACCTAGCCCTATTTATATAGAGAGAGCTCACAACCAACAATTTCAGTATATATTAAAAGATCACTTTTAATTTTAAAAACCTTCTCTTGCAGGGAAGGGCTAAAGAGATGGATCAGTGGTTAAGAGCACATGTTGCTTTTGTAGAGGACCCAGGTTCTTTTCCCAGCACCCACATGGTGTTTCACAATCATCTGTAACTCCATTCTAAGGAATCTGATAGCTTCTGCATCAAGCACACATGTGCATGTATAAATCTAAAATCTATCCATATATGGATATATTATATATACCTTATTATATATATAATATATATATTGGTTTTTTGGTTTTTTTTTTTAAGAAAAAATTCTCATGGCCCTCTGACTCCTGGTGCCCTGCCTGTTCTGTGCCTGCTGCTCTGCTTACCACTCTGTGGTCTTTGGATATTTTTTGATATCCCTTCTGCCTGGCCCAAGAATCTTCCCTGTGCCACCTTCTCAAGGGCAGCAGACATTCCCGCCCTTGATCCCACTCCTCTCCCAAGACTGCCCCACTTCTCCGGCCTCCAGTCAAGCTTCAGAGGGAGCATATACGTTTCCAAGTCATCCCTTTTAATCTGGGTGCCTCCTCCACTAATCCTGACCATCTCAGACTCCAGTGAACTGCTGGTGCCAAAATGCCGGCCTTCCTCATTGTGTCTAGAGTGTTTGCCCCATAACTCACTGTCTTAATCCATTCTCTGTTATTACTGAATACCATAGACTGGGTCATTATAGATTCCCCCACAATCCTAGCCTGGAGGCTGGAGAGTTAAGGTCAAAGGGGCCATATCTGGTGTGACCCTTCTTGATGAAAGCAAGAAAGGATATCCCATTGTGGGACAGCAAATCCTCCTTCCCCTTGTCACAAAGCCACTCAGGCTATTTTGGGGGATCCCACACTCATGATCTTATCTAATCCTGATTGCCTCCAAAGGCTCCGCCTCTAATACCATCAACAAGAATCAAAGGACTAAGTTTCCAGCACAGGGATTCCAGGGACACACCCAACCATAGCATTACTTCCTGAAGTCCTGTCTTTGGAGACACAAGACAACTTCATCTCCTGTGGTTCCTGCCCCACCCCTGATGTCCTTCCTTTGCTGTTTCCTGTGGCCTTGGGACCTTTCTGAAATGGTGTCCCCCTCATCCTCACAGTCCCTTCCTCATGACAGCTTAGGTCTCAGCACCTATGTCTAGGTGTGTGCTCCTAGCTTGACTTCTGCTTGAATTTCCCACACCCCACTGCCTACGCTGTGTCTCCACTTGGATGGCCCATAGATAGCCATGGCAAGTGTATCCAAGGCAAGCTAGTAACCTCTCTTTGAAACCCTCATTCTCCTTGGCTTCTCCATCCATTCAGCTGTAAGCCAGAACCCCAAGTTCTCTGGCCCTCTGTTTACAACACATCCACGTTCTTCTTAGCCCTCCCACTCTGTTATCCAGACTCCTTCCAAGCCTCAGTCTCTTGCTGAGAGATTGCCATTATTGGTCCTGCCCTTAACCCCTACAGTCTGCTTGAACCCAGCAGAGAGCTGCGTAAAATGCACATTCTAACTTTTCATCCAGTCTCCACAGCCAGCCATCCTCCCATTTTCCTGTCTTTCTACTCTCATCCCACTGTCCTCTAAGCTATTTGTTCAGCATTCAGGCTTGTGGTCCCAAATCCCTGAATGATGTACTTCTTCAGAGCCACTGCAGGGAGCCTTTGAGTGGGACTTTCCTCAGATTTCCCCATCTAATAGTCTAGTCTCTTTGTTCCAGGTGTTGTGCATTTGTCTATTCTTTATATGCATGTCCTCCCTCCCATTTAGAAATCTCAGACGATAAAAAGTATGTGTTTTTTGTTCATGGAATAAATCCATACTCGAAATATTTTATAACAGATTAGGAATTCAGGAAGTGGTTTTGAGTGTATGCTCAGTCCATCCTTTAAGATATGTCTATGGTTTGGTATTTGGAATGTGTCTCTGGTATCACTAACTGCCTTTGCAGACTCAGTCAGTCTCTGTTGCTGGATTTTTTTTTGTCTTTTCTTTTTTTAATCTTTTAGTCTTTTGGGGGTCTGCCATCTAGCTCCCAAATAAGTCACACAGAAACTTTTTTTTTCTTATAAATGCCTTAGCCTTGCTTTTTCTAGCCAGCTTTTTTTTTTTTTTTTTTTTTTTTTGGTTTTTCGAGACAGGGTTTCTCTGTGGTTTTGGAGCCTGTCCTGGAACTAGCGCTTGTAGACCAGGCTGGTCTCGAACTCACAGAGATCCGCCTGCCTCTGCCTCCCGAGTGCTGGGATTAAAGGCTTTTTAACTTAAATTATCCCGTCTACCTTTTGCCTCTGGGCTTTTCCTCTGTATACCTTACTTTCACTCTGACTGGCTGTGTGGCTGGCCCTCGAGTCCTCCTTTCCTTGTTCTCTTGCTCCTTGATCTCTCTTGCTTCCCTATCCCTCTCTTTATTCTATTTATTCTCTCTGCCTGCCAGCCTCACCTATCCTTTCTCCTGCCTTGCTATTGGCTGTTCAGCTCTTTAATAGACCAATTGGGTATTTTAGACAGACACAGTAACACAGTTTCACAGAGTTAAACAAATGTAACATATAAGAATGCAACATATCTTTGCATCATTAAAGCAGATGTTCCACAGCATAAACAAATGTAACACATCTTAAAATAATATTCCACAACAAGTCCCATTCTTCTTACAGTTACTGCTTGCCCTTGTGTTTTGGAAAGCCAAAATAAATGTCATTTTATTTTTACTCTGTATTTCACATTTGTCTGTACTAACATATTAGGGTGTTGCTTCTGCGAAAGACAGTCCTGCTGTTTTAGTTCAGTCCTTCCAGCCTTGGCCTCAGTACTTGTGTTAGAGGCAGGGCCTATTGCACCTGGGCCAGGCTTTTCAGGTGCTTGATATTTGAAAAACAACTGTTTAGCTGGATGTGCCACATCCCTGTAATCTCAGCATTTGAAAGAAGACGACTCTTGAGATCAGCTAGGAGTACATTAGTGAAGCCTCTTAAACAAGATAAAAGAAAAATCTGGGCATAGTAATGTATGCCAGTGTTTTGGAAGCTGAGACAGATGGATTGCAATGAGGTCCAGGTCACCCAGGGCTACATAGTAAGACCCTATAAAAATGAAACAGCAACAACAAAAGAAGAAACTGTTGCAGTGTATTTTCCAGTAATGTCTTTTTCACTGCCAAAAGCAGCATGGTAGTGGCATCCTTGAGCACATCTTTGTATCAACATGTAAATGTTTCTTTGGAGCAGACTAAGGTGCTTCCCTGTGTCAAGTCTTGGTGACCCCTTGTAGTACCACTGCTCTCCCCAGAATCAACAGAAGCCTCTTC